CAGCCATGGCCATTTGCAAGCCTGCATTATTCAGGTAAGCGTAGTCGTACTTATAAGCAGTGACAATTCTATTTCAGGATAGTAAGTTTTTGCCTGCTCTTTTGTTATGCACTAACGATGAAAGAATCCAAAGAAGTCACCTAAGGCAAAGTATGCATACAAAACCTTTAGTACATTTAGGCATGCAGATACTATCCATGGGCCAATTTCAGATCTTAATGAATATTGCCTTTTTGGGACTCGAAAAAATTCACAAAAATGAACACTTGCCTGGGTTTATCGCAGCGGTCAGAGCGGTACCAACTGCTGCTGATATCATATTGTAACCCAGGATAAATACTAAGCACAGAAAACCGCTCCTTCCCTGTTCCCTTGGTTCCAGTTTTGCGATCACTATTCAAAAAAATTAAAAGGCCTTATTACAAATGTACAGGTGATTTTCCTAAAGATAAAGCATAATTGTAACATGAAGCGAGTGCTCAGATCAAAGTGTAAGTTTGATGTTTATCAAGCTTACCGAGCGTGCGTTTTCGAATATGCATAATCAGGCAATTAAAATTATATAAAGGAAAGGTGAAAGAGCATAATGTTTAGGCATCCAATGCACAGTAGGAGAGTTGGGAGAGAGGTTTAAAAAATCAAAGGGGTCAGATTCTAGTCATATAAAATGTCAGAGAAGGGGTGAAGGGAAGGTATCCCGCAATTAGTACAAGTCCCTGCGTCATCATTGTAACGCGACGTGGTAGGAGTTGTGAAGACACGTGCTGAGTTAGACTTCGGCCAACGGAGCTTTATAACATTGTCACTTCCCACTGCCGTAAATTATTATAATTATCCGATAATAAATAAGCAAAAATGTACGTTTGCCAAACTGGAAATCTTGAATTATTATAAATTATGTAAAGTTTCGAAGGCACAATGAAGGGAGAGTCTATCAATCTATTAGTCAAAATTACCTAAGACATATTTGCACAAAGAAATCTAAACTGTTCCTAAACTCGATTGCGGGATTTACATCTTCCTATTGGGATAGACACATTTTTAATCGAATGAAGTCCGTTTAAAGAAATTCGACGGCTTAAAACGAGAAGAGCCAAGTTTCCTTTTGTTTTCCTTTTTATTTGTCTTTTACAAGAGCCTATGTTGATTGTAGGGTCAGTCAGGCCACCGTTTTATTCTGGAAGGGTCGCCGGAGGATTCTACAGACAATGTGTTTCCGGCAATGCTTGGGGTTAGACAGCAATACTGTTATTCGCAAGCTAGCCGATGAGGTCTTTCAATTCTCTACGCAGATATAATTTATTTAAAATGTCTTATGTTTGTCACTGTCCTAGTTTAGCTACTGAGGCCAGGATACTCTGAACCATGAAGGTATGCAAACGATAGCTTATTTTTGGTCGTTTTATAGGTTCTTCCTAAAACTTCACGAAGTATCCTGAGACATGCCATATTATAAAGGCCCGAATATGCACTGAAAGCGTGCCGGATCGATGCAATCTATTGCTATTTTACTTTATTTTATGTTTACTGAACAGAATATCATAATCTGGGCTATATTCTCAAAATCCAAATCTATGTAGAGAAAACTGAAATTCGGAAAAATGACGAGGCTAAAGATCGTG